CCCCCCCCCCCCCCCCCCCCCGGTCAACTCCTCTGAGACAGTCATGCCCAAATGGTTCAAAACACTAAAGTTCATGCTCAATAATCCAGGTATAAAATCCAACAACCATCCAGATGACCAGACTGAACATTGTTGGATTTTTATACCTGAATTATTGAGAATTTGGTGGCTATCTGGATTTTTTTTTTCCTTCTGTTTTTACATTTACATTGTAAATACATCAGTGTGCTGTCACTGTTGATGCAAATTAAAGCTAATAATAAAAAAGTTATTGTTTTCATTTGGTAACTAGAGGGCCATAACTGATCTTGGAAAAAAATGTACTAAACAGAAAATATCAGACGTAACGGGAGTTCAGCTAATAATTGTGATTAGTTAACATGTGATTTGTTATTTTTAGCTTCTAGCTAGCTAGTTTTAGCTTTTAGATACAATTCTGCTAAATTAGCTTTTGGCTATCCCCTTTGATCTTTTTAACTTTTAGTTAAAATGTTGGTACTTTTAGTGTTTTAGCTTTTAGGTAGTGCTGTGTTTTGCTTAGCTTAAAAAAAAAAAAAGTTTCAGCCTCCAACAGTGCATGTCTTGATATTTTTATCACTACTTGTCTAAAAGAAGAAGAAGAAGGAGGCCATTTCATATGTACCATCCAGTTTTTATAAATTTTTCATGGTTTGGTTTTTGGATTATTTGTTGGAGTCTTGCTAATGACTCTCATGGTTTACTCACATATTTTAAACCAACGTGAACAGTTTAACTGTTGGATAAAAGTACTTTTTAAAATACATTTTCAGTTAGTTTTTCCCCTTCATACCCTTGAAACAGTTTTATAGAGATGTTTCCAGCTCTCTGATAGAATTATCAAATACAACACTGACAGCCAGTGACTGAACCTGCAGTTCAAATAGTTTATAGAATAGCATTTTGAAGGTTATGTTTTTCTATTACAGTTTGCTTTCAGAACTACAAAGTACATCTCTAGACACCCCCACCTCCTTTGATACGACGATCCTTCTATATCACATTCTCTCTTTCCGGTGACCTCTGAACCAGTCGCTCTGTGGTTTCCATCTTCTCTCACAGCACCTGAGTATTGGCCTGTCCACATCCTCGGATTACTTTACTTTGCTGGAATGTCCTTTTTATTTCTTATTTCCTTTTTCCTTTGTTGCATCGACCCATGTGTGACCCCTGTGCAACCCCTGTGCAACAGTGTGCTCAGCTAAAGAAGGGTATGCTGTATGTGTGTGTGTGTGTTAGAGCCCTCAAGCCTTTCTCTACTTCTCGGTGTGACTAAAACCACAGTTTGTGTCCATATCTTGAAGCCAAGTTTGTTACATATGCAAACTAGATTGGCTTGTATTAAATGCATATCACCCACCTATCACCTCATACGACTCTGGATTATTGTGTTTCTGAACTTTTAGCCCATATTTTCCACAATAAATGGTTTTAGTGTGGTTTCTATAGAACTTTAGACCCTGATAATCTTGTGAACTTTACTAGAGTCTGTTCTGATTCTTCTTTCATGTTAAGTCATTCATCATTCATGTTGAGATATCCATCGGTCCATTAAGGCTACAAAGAAGAGGTTCAAGCCCGAAACACAGTTTGCACATTTCCTTTGGAGATAAGCCTGGAGAGGCTATGGTTCTTTTTATGTCTCCCAATAGTTGCTGAGGCATCTTTAAGCTCGAGTGCAGGTCTGATATCTCAGTCAAAGCTATAAATCTTTAATGACTGATTTGATTTCTCTTTAATATTTCTCTTTCCTCTGTATGTTCTATGCCCAGGTTTTGATTTGCCGTAACTACATGGGGAACATGGACATGAATGAGATCGATCACTTCATGCCCATCCTGATGAAGAGGGAGGAAGACGCTGAGATGACGCCGCTGGTCAGCCGTGGCTTAACGCACTTCATGTGGATCAAGCACAGCAACATTTATTGTATCCAATCAGAGTTCATTTCTGAATTAATAGCATTTGTTGTCTAGACGAAGCCTACATTGCAGTTCCAGTGTCCCAGATTCACAGTTCCACTTTCTACCGGCTAGCACGTAAAGCTAACCTGTCACTCTTGTGTGAATACAACGTAAATAGAACTTTGTCTCCCGTAAATAGTTCCAGGTGTTTATCTTTTTCTAAGTTTTTCACTCTGTTTTGACGCAGCTTGAGACGCAGTGAGTGATGTTTTGTTCTGTTCAGTATATTCCCCCATTTCCTTCCGTGCAGTCAGACCTCCCAGCACATCATTAATTCAGCATCATGTTGCAGTTTGTGAGTAACTGTTATATCTACTCCACTGCATTACAACTGAGCTGTTTTACCTCCCTGTAGCCATCTTCCTAATTGCTCATGAATCTGATGCTTTCTGGTGAGTTTGGTTCATGTTGCATGCACATTAAGGCATTTAGCTCTTTTTTTTTTTTATTTTGCAAAGACTACAACGTGTCTACATGTGTTTCTCCCTAAAGCAGTGTTTTCCAACTTGTAGATCAAAAGTATTTTTCTTTAATTTGTTTTTCCAGTAGTGGCAATGACTAAGAAGAATGCCAACGCTGCTCTTGTTTACTCTTTCCTTTATAAACTAGTACAGGTAAGTCTGGTGTATTTTAGACATCTACACTATAGATATTTGTATTTAGTATTAAAACAACATTTCTAACTTTTTCAGCTTTCAAATGTTAGTATTTTCTACTTTGGAATGTTGCTTGCATTTTATGTTTTTTATTCTAATGTATTTTCTTGTTAATGTAAAATTATTATTCATCTGATGATACGTATATCATGTTGGATCTGTTGAGAACTAACTTTATAATGTTTTGATGTACAAAACCTAAGAAAATGGAAACTGAGTGTTTTATATTTTCCTATGAATGTTATTGCAACACACACGCACACACACACAAAAAACCACTAAAGAAGTTGTAAATCACATTTTAACATGTGCCATTTTGTTGTTGTAGGTGTTTAAGGAGTACTTTAAGGAGCTTGAGGAGGAGAGTATTCGTGACAACTTTGTTACGGTGTATGAACTTATGGATGAAGTGATGGACTTCGGATTCCCACAAACAACTGAAAGCAAGATCCTTCAAGAGTAAGAAAACTAACTCGCAACCTGTGAAGCCCTCAGGGCAATAAGAACTCGTGTGCTCTTTAGGTGTAAAAACAGATTTTCTCTGAGTTGATGGTACTTTAAACATGAAGGACTAGTCTTAGACTTCAAGCTGAAGATGTTTTAGAGAAGTTTTAAATTTTGAATATTTATATTAAACAAAGCTTGCCTTCCTTTTGTTTTAGCATTATTTTCCAATATTTCTGGTTGAATTAATTTTTTTAGTCACATCACAGAAATGTAATTTATTAACCACCTGGACAAACGTAGTTTAAAACAATAAAAGAAAAGTACACTTTGGTTTTAAAACCTAAAAAGACAAAGCAGTGTTGACTTTGAAACATGGATTACATGGAATTTTAGACCCTTGGAAACGAAGTATAAAACATTTGCACAGTCGTGCATGTTTTCCTGTTTTTCCATTGAACCTGGGCTTTGAATATGTGTGTGTGTGTGTGTGTGTGTGTACAGTTTGTGTGTTTTCTGTGTCTGAACAGTGCTGATAATCACCAGGCTCCTATTGGCACTTAAACACAATGACACCATCAGCGGGACAGAGTTAAGACGCTCAGGAAGAAAAGCCTCACTCTTCTCCTCTCTAAGGAGACACACAGTCAACGTCTCTGTTGTACACATGCACATGCACACACATGCACACACTGACATCCCAGCAGACAGTAGACACAAACATCCACTGTGTCTGTCCCTGGAGTTTATTCCAGTGCTCTAACCTTTTCATGACCCGACTATAATTACAGAGTGTTGTTCACGCTCACTACTACACTGCTTACAAGGTAGGAGTGTAAATGTGCTAATATGTTTGTGTAGGTGGATGCAAGTGTGACTGCAATGTTGCACGTGCATATACATTTGCGTATCTTTGCGTTACTCTCCATATGCATGGTTCATTTATTTATATTGCAGCAAACTCATGTCATTTTGGGCCACTTTATTTTGTGATGTGTAGACTGTTCAATAATACAGAGACAAACCCAGATCCTGTGTGCTTGTTTCTGCTACTGCTGTGCTCATCTGTCACTTGAGTGCCTCGCTTCCAGGTCCCTGGAATTAGCATGAAATTAGCATTTCTGAGGAGAATCGGGGCAACGCAGGAAAAACAGCAAAGCAACACAACAACCTGACGTCGACCCCATCCGTCATTTGTCAGACTTACATGTCTCAGCCCTCGCAGACATTCCCACTTGTCAGCAGGCATTCGAGGGCCTGTAGGTGGGAAGAATTGGGACAGAAAACAAGGGAAAATCTCTTGCCTTAATCTGTCAGTCAATCTTGAACTTGTTTGTTCAGCCCTTTTTGTTGTTGACACGTAAAACGAGTTGTATGTTTGATGTGAAAACAAGACCTCTCAGTTAGTATTGTTTGTTTCATTACCAGGATTCGCCAGCCTTCATGGGTCATGACTTGCTGCGTGTTCAAACAGATAAATCAATTCGGGGCGCCTGCAGTTGGTGGTTTTATTGTATCTGTAGGTTAAATGTCAACAGAGAGACATCGCACGAATTAACTTTTCATTTTGGCTGTACAGGTCGCTTAATCTGGTCGCAGCTCATTGTGTAGCGGATCGGCTGCAAGTTTGTTTTGTTTTGCTTTCACTATTCTCAGAGAGGTATTGTTTGAGCAGACAACCAGATGTTTCCTTCACAAGTTGGTGGAAACCAAAACACAGCTTTAAATAAATAATGCCCAGAAACGACTGGGATCCTAATGGTGCCGATAAACGAACACACCCACAGACACAAGCAAAAACATTATAACCGGGAAGGAAAAGAAGAACTGTTTGGTTCAAGTTTAGAAAAGTAATCAGGAACAGGCTTTAATGGAATCTCCTTTTTATACGCCTACATATGGCGTGTTTATAAGAAAACACTTTTTATACTTTATAAAAATGTATAAGAAAGTGTTTTTTTACGGAGAAAAAGTATACCGTTGTCTCTGTCCGTTAACTTTCTCTTGTCCTGCCCATAACTTCTGATCTGCTCAAGATCATTTTAATGAATCTCATACACATTTGTATCATCACTAAACTGAGTGTTGTGTAATCATTTCATCACCCCAGCCCCAAGGTCAAGGCCACAAGTGAAGGTCAAAGGTTATACCAGGTTTTTTTCTTGTTGCGGTTATTGCTACACAGTAGTCCCTCGCTACTTCGTAGTTCATTTTTCGTGGACTCGCTCTATCGCGGTTTTTCAAAGTAAGATTGGACATGACACACAAATGGCTGATTGATGGATGAGATGCACGATCGGCATGGATTTTTTTTATTTAAAATGCATTCTTTTAAATTATTTAGCACCTGCAGCACCTTTGTGCAACCCACAGCTGCAGAAAAAAAATAACTCCTGCACCTCTTTGCAGCCCACACTGCAGGATAAGCTTCTTCCTGCGGCTATTCAGCTGATCTCCGTGCAGAGCAGAGAAGTGGGCGTGGCCAAGAGCGCTTGCAGGTGGCAACAAGCAGCAGAGGCAGAGAGCTGAAATCATAACATTCTGTGCTCTTTTAGAGTGTTTAGAGTTTAGAAACATTGTTTAGAATATTGCAAAAAATTTTAAAGAGTTAAAATGCCTTTTATATTTATATATATATATATATATATATATATATATATATATATATATGTATATATATCTACTTGTACTACCATTCCTACTTTGCGGTTTTTCATGTATCGCAGGGCGTCAGGGTACGGATCCCCCACGATAAACAAGGGACTACTATAGATTGTTCTATAATCGTTTGTCGACTGGAGTATAATGTGCAGTTTTTGGTGCCCTTGTTGTTTATAGGCAGCATAATTATTCCTGTCCTCTGAGATACTCCTGAAAGTTTTCAGAGAAAGTCAAAAAGTTTAAATGTTTGACACAGAAGTGATAAGAGACTATTGTATCTAACGTATCAGACAGAAAATGGTACTCTCACACCATCTTTTACTTGAAACCTTCTTTGAAGCAAAGGCAGTTTTCAGCATTGGTTTCCATGGTGATTCAGTTCAGAAATGAGCAACCAAGCTTCAAGACACTGAAAACTCAGAGTTAAATCTGAAGATACCTCACAAAGCCACTAAATCCTGCTTTGTAGTGCACGCCCCAGGTCAGAGAGATAACTAGAGAGGAGAGAGTAGTCTGCTGCAGAAAGGCCTGTTCGGATCACTTTGTCTTTTTAGTGTGCGAGTCAGTGTTTGAAATTAATGGAGTTTATTTAAAGCGGATCAAAAGCTTGTGGCTGCAGAACATCTGCTTCAGATCCTTTTGGGAGTTTCTTGCCAAGTTTCCTCTGAAAGTTCAAGTTCAGGCCAAAAGCACAAGTTCAGAACGTTTGTACCAAAGTGACTGAAGTATTTGTTTTATTAAGATGTCTGCCCTGCTTACTGCATTCATTTATAATTAATCGAGTCGTGACTGTATCATTACAGTAAACAAAGTAGGCTCTCTACATGTTTGTCTGGAAAAGGTGAAAGTTGGGCACATGCTTAACCCAAAAGTTAAAGTTTCTTTATTTGTCATACGCACCACATGCGGTACATAAGGTGGAACAAAATTGTGTACACATGGTCCCAGTTATATCCAACAAAAGTATAAATTGTAAATAAAAACAGTAATAAGATCTGAGGTATGAACTAAGAAAAACGTTAAACTCAAAATATGCTAAGCACAAGTAGTACAAAAACAATACGCCGAACAGCAGCACGAACATGAGTCTGTGTGAGCAGATGAGTACGAATGAACACATCAGCATGAAATAAATCAGCAGCATGAGATCAGCAGCATGGATAATCAGCAGCACATTTCAACATGTGCATTACAGTGATTTTTCACAGTGATTATCCTGGTTAGATCCACGAGTGTAACCCCTCGAACCCTTCCCTAAACCAGCTTTCCCAAATTATATTTTCCGTAATAAACAGATTACATTTTAAATATAAACACATTAAAGCTCTTCCAGTGTTTCTTCGTGGCTCATTGGTTTTGGAAATATTTTAGTTTGTTTACTCAAGCAATGCCTTACAGTCTAACATGGCCTATTATTGTCCATGACTAGTCACAATGGTTTTATGTAAATTACCGTTTTCCAATTATGTCCATGAATAGTTATCCTGCTAAATAAACACAAAGCTCCTTTAATTCATTAGCACCAGATAAACTCATTCATTTGAAGTCATGAGGTGGGATTAAAGCTTCGTACACAAACTTGCCTTTAAGAGGTTTAGTTCATGTTGCCTGAAAACTCACAACCTTTTAGTTGCCTTTTTTATCTTCAAAAGTTTGGAAATGCAGTCTCAAACACCTTAAGATCATTATTTGTTGCTCTCAGGTGATGGATGTCTTTCATTTCTTTTCAGGTGTACCACTCGGCAGGATGAGTGACTTTGAACACAGCTGGAGCTTTTTTTTAATACCGTCTCTCTGTTTTTGTCTCTTTTAGGTACATCACCCAGCAGGGTCATAAACTAGAGGTCGGGGCACCTCGGCCACCTGCCACTGTCACCAACGCTGTGTCTTGGCGGTCAGAAGGCATCAAGTACAGGAAGAATGAAGTTTTCATGGATGTTATAGAGTCTGTAAACCTTCTGGTGAGAATGTTGTTTTGCTTTTCATATTACCACTAAATATTTCTGCACAGCATGATCTATGATTGCCAACATTTGTGTCCTTTGAAACAGTCCTTTAAAAAAAGTTCATCTCACAACCATTTGATTTCTTCTCACAGTTTTCTTCATTATTTGAAATAATTACTGAGAATATATGAATTGTCACCTAATCTGTTTCAGAAGAGTATTATGTATATTTAGTGTGCTTCGTTAGAAATAAGGCAATCGAAGTTTCTCAGTATTATTTTTCCTGCAGCTTGGAAGCCTAAACATTTCTAAGAATATGAAAATGACCGTTCCTTTATTGTGGTTTGTTTCTAGTCACTTATGAAACTTCTAAAAGTAATAATGTTTTTACATGGGTGGGTATATTCATCAGGGTGGCATGGTGGCGCAGTTGGTGGAGCTGCCGCCTCTCAGCGAAAAAGTTGTTGGATCAAATCCCAGCTGGGGGCCTTTCTGGGTGGAGTTTGTATGTTCTCTCTGCGAATGCGTGGGTTTTCTCCGGGTGCTCCGGTTTCCTCCCACAGACCAAAAACATGCATGTTAGACTGATTGGTAACTCTAAATTGTGCCTAGGTGTGAATGAGAGAGTGAATGGTTGTTTGTCTCTATGTGTCCCTGTGATGGACTTGAGACCCGTCCTGGGTGTACCCCACCTCTCGCACAGTGAAAAGGAACACGAAAAGGAAGAAGCAGGTAAAAATATGATGGATGGATGGAATAGTCATCACAATTAGAGCCTGACCAATATGAACATTTTGTCTGTTGCCGATATGATATTGTGAGGGGAAGGGTAATACCAATAACCGATACATGGGCTGAACATTTTTGAGCTTTGTCCACTCCAAAGAATCTGAGTAGACTGGGAGAGGTTGAGAGGCTTGTTTATTCAGTGCAGCTGTTAGCAGACTAAGCAAATCAGATCCACTATACCTAGTCCCACAGTAGGTTTACAAGTGGTCGTAAAAACACTCTTCCTAACATGCGTTCACATTTTCTGTCCTCAACTATTCACCATAAATTTATCAAGTGTGTTGCAAAGCTACAAATTAAAGAAATGTCCTTCCCTGTTCATTGTTTAAACAGTCAGTCACGTATGGTGAAGGCCTAATAAGTACTGACGGCTTTTAGTTTTATTTATTTTTTGCAGAGCAGTAAAGATTTCAGACAAACAATGCATTTCATTGCAACAAGGATAATTTTACTAACACTGATATATTTGACCTCTACGTTAGATTTATTGTTCTGGATAAAGTTTTACAAGGTAACAGCCTATGCTAGATTATCTAAACATTAGCTTGCTAACCTAAGACGGCACGTAGCTAATGACAAGCAGGTTGGAGGATTGAAGAGAATTTATTATTATTTTTATTTTTTTTTATTTTACAGATCGGTTAAGATAAACGTACCATGCTCTGTTCAGAAAAATATGCTACACAGTATTTCTCGCTGCTTTGTCTGTGCAGAAAGTGAAACTTAAAGTGAACAGCCATGACTTGAAAGTAGTCCACATGTGCTCTTTGCTGGATGCATTGTACAATTTTGGCTGGTTCCCAGCATTTTAGTGGTGAAAATTAGAAGTGTTTGTATCAGTGCATAATGGGACAATTATCAAAGATACCAATAGGTCCTGAAACACCCATATCAGACTAAATTATCAGCCCTACTGATATCAGTTGGGTTCTAATCACTATATTAGATTTGTAAGAAGAACAAACTAAATTTTAAAAGACAAAGATGACAATAGATGTTTTTTTTTAATATATCATAAAAAAAAAAACATTTAGTCTTCCCTGAAGCTCAAATGGACAATGACACTGTGATAACGCTGTGTTTTGAGGCTGCACAGCACTTTTCTTCCAAGCATATTGTTTTCATGATCTAAAATGTTTGTAGCAAAAGCAAGAATCCCATTCACACACTTGGACATGCTGCATTTTAAATGCAGAAGAGAAATGACCATCTTAGAACTACATTGTCCTTGAAGGAGATTTTCAAAGACAACTCAGCAAACTGCTGCAGGTTTTTACCAGATAAACTAAAACTGAAGAACGAGGTATCAACATCCCAAAAGCTACGGATGCCGCTTCACAAAGCAGGGACTTTAAAATTATATTTTCAGACGCCTCTTTGTTTAACACATTAACGCTTTTGTCACATTTTTCACCCTTCTTGAAAAAGGGTTTTCATTTTTAACCTTTTTATCTGCAGAAATATTGATTTGTTTCATTCTAATTGTATGAATGCTGAGTCAGCGTCCATGCTGTTTTCATGTTTATAGTTTCTTCTGGAAGTTTTTTTGCATATTACTTTTGCCTACTTCAAACTACTTTAACTATCCTATATCAAAGCATTCGGCTCAATTAGGAATAGTGTGCTATAACGTTTAGTAACGTTTATACTGAATTGCCTTATTTAACAAAGTTGTCTCATGGAAATACATTGAGCTCGTTTCAGCTACTTCAGAAATATTGATCTTTGAAATCTACTTCCAACGCACTTTCTCCGTTTTTGTCTTCCTCTACTCATTTTAGCTTTTGGCTACTGTCTTGCTAACTATATCTTTAGCTATTCTTCTTCTTTTGGCTATTCCCTCTTCTGGGATCTCCACAGCGAGTCATCCTCCTCCATCTCACTCCGTCTCCTCTGTCCTCACTCCACCTCCATATCATCTCTAACTGCATCCATATACAGTATTTCCTCTTTGGCCTATTTCACTAATGGTGAACTTGCATAATAGAGGAAACCATTTTTTATCATAATACAATTCAAACAAACACGCCTTACATGTAGATGTTATTATTTTGTGTTTTGCAGGTGAGTGCCAACGGCAGCGTCCTGCGCAGTGAAATAGTGGGCAGCATCAAGCTCAAAGTCGTCCTGTCAGGAATGCCAGAACTTCGACTGGGGCTCAATGACAAAGTGTTGTTTGAGATCACAGGCAGTAAGTAAAAATCCTCTCCTGTGCCTCAAGCTCTTCGTGCATTTTAAAGCATTTCTAACGCAACAGAACAAATGAGAAAAGCAGTGAGCAAAAGCAAAATCACCCTTTCAAGGAAGTTACTGAGGTTATAACATGCACCTTTACAAATCTCCAGTTTCTCCTTTCACACTGAACATAAACCACATTTAGTTGAGCTATTTTTAAGCACAATTTAACTTTTTGTGCAAATTAGAAAAGGAGGGGGGTCTTATCATTTAAAATAAGGACTGCTCATGCAACAAAAAATATTTTGTATTTCCATTTGTGGAGTAAAACTGTGGAACAGTTTGAATGTGGAACTCAAGGAATGTCCAAGAAACAGTCTAAGGAGAGGTATAAAAATTAATTTTTAAAGATATAGGGATGAGGAGTGTATATGATTATCATTTGATAATGGTTTCTAGAAAAGTAATATTTCAATGATAATTTATTTTATTTTTTTTGTTATATTATTTATATAGGAAAAGTAAGTACATGCAAATTAATTATTGTTTAAGCCTTATTGAACTCATTACTGTGTAATCTAGAATAAGAAAGCACAATAACTTTCTATTATTAGTAAATTGTGGAGAAGGATGGGTTTGTACTTCTTCTCGCTCCTTTTTCAAACATGTTCCATTTTGTTTATCTTGTTACATCACTTTAACTTTGTATTTATACAGGTTTGAAAATAAATAAATTGGTATTGTTTGAATAGTTTGAATGAAATGTTCTCCAGGGGTTCATTTTAAGGTTGTGTAAGTGTAAATATATCTGTTTATTTGAAATCACAGCAGAAACAAAAATAAGCATTCAACTAATTATTTTTGCAGCTTTTTTTACACATATTTTCTTTTTAGGTTTGGTTATAAGCCGTGCATTGTCGGGCACAAATTAGTTCGGAACCACAGGCTTCTAATACAATCTAATGTACCGTGTGTAACATCTGTGCTTTCAATCATACAGTCTGTTGTGTTTTCAACGTTTTACATAGATTGGCATTAACGTTCTTATAAACGATCATATTCATGTTGGGAATTTTGGGTAACTTTAATAAAAATCTGTGCTGGTGAATTTCAAAGCTGACTGCTGCTCACGTTCACCTTGAGCTCACCCTCACATCTAATCTCCTCTTTCTGTCTGAATCCCATGTGTCGCTAATATCCTTCCTCTGCCTCGTTCTCTTCTAACATTTTTTTTTTCCATCATTGTATTCCACAGCCACATCTTCCCTGGTCTGCTCCTGCACATCCTCCTCTTCCATCTCCTTTTACTCTTCTTAGCCTACATTTTTTCAGCAACCCCCATCAGTTCCTCACTGAAGAGGAAAGGCTCCATCACTGCCTCTGAGATAATCCTCACCTCAGGCTACAGCCCTGCAGATGAAAGGTGAGGGTCTGTGGCTGTCCAGTGTTTGCAGCCACAGAACCCCCACCGTTACCCCCCCCCCC